AGAGAGAGAGAGAGAGAGAGAGAGAGAGAGAGAGAGAGAGAGAGAGAGAGAGAGAGCGAGAGAGAGAGAGAAATGGTTGGGGGGGAGGGGACCCACTATTTAAATCATCTTTCTGTCGGGGATGCGCTGTAGATACGCAGAGGCTTCTACTCCGCTGGTCTGTGTTTGTGCGGAAACTGCTTTTTCTCTTTCTATTTTTTTTGTTTTGGGAAGCTGCTCTTTTTTTTTTCCTTTTTTTTTAAAACCGGCTCTCACGAGAGTGTTGTGTATGCGCATCGGAGATGCTGGTGACAACTCGCCCGCAATTACCGTATTTGAACAAAAAGAAAAAGAAAAAAAAAAAGATCGAGGACGGAGCTCAAGGTTTGGCAAGTTTATCCTTTTTGTTATTTCTCTATTAATTCGAAGATAAATGGCTTATCGGCATTTTTTTCACTAATCCTTTTTTTTTAAACTAAAAGGGCGATGACCTCAATATATTATCATTGAACTGACCAGCCCGTGGTAATTTAGAAGTATTTGATTTTTTTATTCATCCAGCTGCATCTGGATTTGAACTCAGGTCCGTATTTCAACAGTACATGGGTGTGGTCCCCACTGAGCTAGGCCAGTTGGTTTTCTTGTCCGTATTTCTAGATAAGGTCTTTAGCAAAAACAAAACAAAACAAACAAACTAATTTCTCTCTCTCGGCTCTCTCCCAAAGTTTGGCATGTTTATCCGTTCTGTTCCCCTCCCTTTTTTTTTTTTGGTTTAAAACAGCAGAGGACTTTTTTCCCTAAGAGTTTGGAGATAGAAGGCTTATCCGCTTGTTTATCCTGATTTTATTTTATTTTTTAAAGATAAAAGTTAGAACGATAGTCCTTCGGGACATCCGTTAAAATTGGAACGATACAGAGAAGATTAGCATGGCCCCTGCGCAAGGATGACACGCATAAATCGAGAAATGGTCCAAATTAAAAAAAAAGAAAAAAAAGTTAGAACGATACAGAAAAAAAAAGATTAGCATGGCCCCTCGCAAGGATGACATGCGTAAATCGAGAAATGGTCCAATTCTCTCTGAGAATAAAAAAAAGATAACACGTGTTAAACGAGAAATTTTCAAAATTAATTTAGAAAAAATAAATCGAAAGAACTGCGGAACGGTTTGTAGGTGGTCGTGGCACATTTGCCTGAATGCGCGCTGCCAGGTTCTGAGCAAGACGGAAATTACTTTTTTCCCCTTTTTTTTTCTTCTGTGAAAAGCCTCTATCATTTTTATTTTTTTTTGAGGGGGGGGATTCAGAAAGCTTTATACAAGATGGGATACCTATCTTACTATCTTCTGTAAACCTTTTTTTTTTTTTTTTTTTTTTGTTTCCCCGAGGGGGATGGGCCGTGCCACGCTCCGCTGCAGTGCAATACGAAGGCAACGCTGGAAGGGTCGAGTAGGCAAGGCTACCCATATGACACCTCCGTAGCCCTGAAAAATTAATTTAATATCGTGTGGCCCGATGTACCACGGATCAGGTATTGAACTGATCAGAACAGATACATTGCACTTGATCTTAGCCAAAGAGGCCGAG